GCTCATCTACATGTAATTTCCTCCTGGGTGAGGACAGGGAAAAGCGTGATGAGGACAGGAGTAGAAGGAGCGGTTGAGAAGCGAGGCAGAGAGTGAGCCCAGCTGAAGCTCAAGAACGGCAGCCTGATTGTCAAGCAACACGTAGCCATGGCAACGACAAATGGGGAGAGCAATGAAAAGAGGTACAGAAACAGTGGAGGGGAAAAAAGAAATGGGGGAGATGCTTCAGGTTAAAACTACATTGCTCAGAGATTTAAAAAGAAAAGAATTTAGCTGCTTTCTTACGCTACACTGGAGACTAATGTTACATCCACTCACAGGTGATATTTCAGTTACAGTCAAGAGCACGGAGATTAAATATTGCCTGGGGATACTTCTTCCATGTGGTCTCACCCTTCCAGTTTAGATTGCTCAGCAGTGTTCAGTAGTACACTTTAATATTTATCCCTAAGTGCGTATCTCTTTTCTGCTGTTGTGCTCTTCTACTTCTTCATCACTCCATTCTCGCTTTCATTTGTATTCTGTGTGCATACTGCCTCTCCTCATTCTCCAGCCCGCCATACACCCTTTTTTCCTCCTTTGTCTCTCTGTTGGTTCCCTCTCCCTTATTGCCCAAAGATCTCTTTTTCTGGCCTCCATCCCCTCCAACCCTGCAGAGAAGAGCTGACATTGGGCATGAGGTCAGAGAGATGGGCAGTCATGCTCCTGCTGTCAGCTGGCTCAAATGGGCTTAGATACAGTGTGTGTGGAGAGACCTAAGGGACACCCTCACTAGCCTTCGGCGCTGGCTTGGCATATACAGACACACACACACACACACACACAAAACCCCTACACATTCAATCACACATACATACATTAATACCAACAAAAACGTCACCTTCACTTGTAACAAGGACATTCATTCAAACTGCACATATAAAATGAGCGTGTGAAAGCCCATACATGAAAGCACACACATGGTTTTACTCACACAAACACAGTGACACGTGGAATAACAGATTACAGATTGGACAAATTCCTTTGGAGAGCAGTGGATTATTGGCTGTTAAAAACAGACTTTTGAAAAATAGAGATATAAACCTCCATGTGTCATATGCATGGACTGGATATATGGAATAGGCATATACCAGGAAAAAAATTAAGTAATTAAAGTAAAATATTAATTAAACTTCATTAGATCTTTTCAACTAGCCTTCTGTTCAAAGAACGCTTGTGTCATCTATTGGTGGATATTACATTGCCATAAGTAACTATAAGGTTAGCACCGCACTGAAATGTCAGACTCTCTAGTCAGCTCATTTGAAATTGGGATATGATTACATCTTTGTATTAATGTTAAACTCAGAAATTGCAGGATCTTTAAAAGGGTAATCATTGCTGTGGTATTTTAAGTAACACAGTTAGAGAAATGTCCCATTTTTCCACATTTTTACACAAATGGCATAACATATATAATAGGATGTCATGGCTAGGGTCACTTTGGATTACAGAAAGAAGGATGCTGTCAGAAGCACTGTACCAAACTGCCCCCAGGTGGCAATGATACACATTGCAAAGGTTAGATGAAGAGGACGTAAACAAAGCTGTGTACTTTGATAAATTAGTCGAATGGATATTTTTTCTCTGTATTTTGCTTTATTATTAGAATAAGAAACTCTTTAGGGAAACCTGTACAGTATGTTTTGTTTCCCTAAGACACACCTATAATATAAATTACATCATTTGAGTTTCTTAATAATATTAAGCTCATCACACATCAATATATATGCATATTTAAGGTGAAACATTACCTGCACTGGAGTAGTTGTTGCAGTTGGGCCTCCTCTGAAGGCTCAGGTTACAGGATAGGATTGCAGGGCACACAGGCTACATAAATGGCCACCTCCATTCAGGGTAATGAAGGCAGTCCGTAGTGCTTCGTCACCTGCCCATCAAGAAGTGTATCACTTTTCATACCTGGAGAAGAGAGAAGGAAAAGTTTGTTGAGTAGAAAGAGCTCATCCATGTTATGTGCTGGGAAATACCAGTTTATAGCTTCATAGGTTGTTATAGATATTTGACAAGAAGGACTGGTAAGTACATACCTGTTAGCTCACTGTTGGTGATACTCTTTTCTTATTTCACATTCCTCTACACATTGTTGTGTCCTTCCTGCCCGCTAAGAGCTTCATGGCTGAAGCCACCAGCATGAGAAGCAGCAGTGGAGGTTTAGGCAGCGGAGGGGCTGGGGGAGTGCGTGCCTCCCAGGAGCCCACTCTCAAAGCCGGGGTGGTTTTGTCAGATGAGAGAGTGGACTTCCTCCGGGAGCAGGCCTTCTATGTGCTGAGAGTGAAGACAGATAAGTGGAACCGCTTCATTGGTGCTGATGAGAACCAGAAGATTATACTGGATTTTCTGGACCACATCTGGACTAACAGGCTGCTGCTTTTCACCGGACCTGGAGGGACACTGCATGCAGGGGATGCTCAAGTAAGATAAATGCACAGAAGAGCAATGATAAATGTATATGTATACAGATAAAAGTGATGAAAATTTTTTATAAATGTTGTTTTCATCTCCCCACCCAGAGTCAGTTTGGTAGGTATATACAATTCTAAAATCAGTCTTGAATAAATATTTAATAGAGCATAAACTGTTTATACTAACATCTCTGAGGTAAACATAAGAGGAACAGTTATGATACACATATTTTCACAATCTTTAGTGAATTTAGTTCCTATAAGTCAGCGGTGCCCAACCCCCGGGCCTCGGACCGGTACCGGTCCGTGAGTCGTTTGGTACCGGGCCGCGAGAGTTGAGGCTCAGGTGTGAAATGTATAGTTTTCAGGGTTTTTATCGGTTTTCAGCGTTATTTTGTTATCATTTTTATCGTTTACTCGGTTTTCCTGGGTCTTTTCACGTATGTTATGAATAAATTTTCTTTTTTTCGGTACTGGTACTAGTTTTATTTTGTTGTAGTTATCCGCGACACCTTAAAGGCCGGTCCATGAAAATATTGTCGGGCATAAACCGGTCCGTGGCGCAAAAAAGGTTGGGGACCGCTGCTATAAGTGACAAAAGCTGGCATACAGGTACACAGGTGTTTAACAGAAACTCCTGGGTTTGTAATCTGCACTCCATCTAATATACACATTTTTCTGAAATAAGTCGCTACTTATTTCTAGTGCTTTCAATGTTCTTGAAAGCATTCCTACTGTTTTTTCATCTGTGAAGACGTCCCCGCCATGGAAGACCAAGCTGCTGTGTGTCCTAAAGAAGGGCGTGAAGAGAATTTCCCGAGAAGGATTCAGACACCAGTTCAGGCTGGGAGAAGTACCTGGATACCCAATGGAGCACCTGCCTGTTGTCATATCTGAGGTTGGGTAGTGTGTTCAGGTGTAGGATGTCTACAAGTGCACATTTTCATATATGTTGACTGTGGATGCAAAATTTTCTGGTTTACAGTTTTTCTGGTAAGTTCTGTGTACGTGTCCTTGTGTAATTTGTGTGCGTGTATAGCTACCTTATGAACACCTCTTCATACAGGTGCTGGTGTGTGTGCTATCCAACGGTCTCAACCACGAGTCCTGGCCGAGGGTGGTGTCTGATGACATCCACAGGCACCTGGAGAAGCTGAGGAGCAAGGTGGTCACTCTGAGAGGCCGAGCCGAGGGGCGAACACTGCTGCCCCTACCCCTGTACGTGGAGAGGGCACGACCTCAGGACATTGTGCTAAGGTCGGTGGTGTCACAATACACAGACAGCCAAATTACAGCTGAAAATGTTGGGAATTTTTAAAGTGTTGCGATGGCTTTGAATGGTGTCTCCGAATTAATCGGTTATTTTTAATTATAATTTATAATTGTAAAAGTTTCATTTGCCGCCCTTTTTTCAGGATGGAAAGGGGCAGGGCATGGGGAGCATTTACTTGGTAAACAGGCTGTTTTCTGGTCAAGTTCGTCGATGAAAATGTTCCGTTTGTCAGACATATTACAAGAAAAGTGGGCGTCCTTGTGTTTTACAAGAAACAAGACAAAAGACGGGATTCCGAAAGTGAAAAAGCAGGGTCAGCTGTCATATTTGTTTTCTCCTTGAGTCAAGTTTAGACAAATTGCTGCACAGTGGCGGAATGTTTTTCTTTCATGTTAGCTAAAGTTTACCTTGAGACCTTGAGGAACTTGGAAAACGCCTTCAACACAGCAGCGTCAGTTAAGCAGCTAAGTCTGACAAAGTTTAAGCAGTGGAGTTAAGTCCTACAGTAACTCGTTTTATTTCTGATATTAGCTTAATAGTGAAGAGTGAGGGTTTACATACTTGGCTATTGTCAGACTTTTGAAGAATGTAAGATAATTGAATAATATAACATGGCATAACCTTTAAAAATAACTAGTGCGTAAAGGCACTGGTAAACACTGGTTGGCATTTACAATGTCCTAGAGAAATAATATACAGTACCTCATTTGTAGCGTTCGTATTGTACGTATAGCTTCAGTAGCTCACTTCTATTTTTATCCAGACTGATTGCTCTCACTCTGTCCCTCTCAGCCACACTGGATGGCCACTGGACCGTGGCTTGTTATACTCTATAGAAACTCTGATTGTGCAGTGGTCCGGACAGATATGGAGTGTGCTGAAGAAAGACTCTGGTATGATGCTGCTTCAGGGAAACCACCCAGGCCCCAGCGTGGAGCTTCAGTTCTGGGCAGCTCAAAGGGAAAACCTGCTGGGCATCCAGTCACAAGTATGACGTTATAAAATAAGTATAAGACTCGGGTTATTCATTAGTTTAAAAAGAACAAAAAAAATGTATGTAATGTATGTTAAATGTATGTTAAATGTTTATTAAATGCGTCCAAAGTTAAATAACAGTAGAGGTATATAAAAGTCGTTCCCGTGAGCCAAAGCTCAGCCTCCAGATTGCTCTGAATAGTGAGTTTCCACTTGTTATTTTCTATTGCTGCAAGGAGCTGACATCAGCTCCTCCTGGATTTCTTTATATAGCCATCTGCTACAGGTACAGCCACCTTTAAAGTACAGACAGCACAGCTCACAAGCAATGGCAGACTTCTGGAAAATGATCATCCAGAAGGGACGTTTAAAGGGAAGGTTAAAGAGTCAGCTTGTTTCAGTCCATTTAAAGAGCTGTGAATCATGCTGGGGTGCTCTAGTGGAATCACAATATACAGGAAGGAAACCTGACAACTAATGAAATTTTACTTTATATTCATTGTATGCGATGCTTAATGTTGAGATGTGTCCCTGTGTCAAATGGTAAATGGCCTGTATTTATATAGCGCTTTACTAGTCCCTAAGGACCCCAAAGCGCTTTACATATCCAGTCATCCACCCATTCACACACACATTCACACACTGGTGATGGCAGCTACATTGTAGCCACAGCCACCCTGGGGCGCACTGACACAATACAGATGAACAGAGAGGGCAGCAATGACGAAAGTTGTCAGTGTAGTACAAAACCTGTACATTTATTATACTCTTGAAATAATAAATCAGTGGGAGCTGAATGTGCATGTTAATATGAGATCCTTGGTTCCAGATCCGCAGCTCCAAAGTGGAGCAGATCGTGGAGATCCTGAGAAGAGTCAAGAGCAGTTACTACTCCGCCTTCAAGGACGTCTGCGTCAAAGTCAATGAGGGTAGATCAGCATTACTTCTCATTCATCAAGGCTTTAATTTGTTTTGTCATCATGACATGAGTATGACAGCTCCAGCTCCCATTTAGTTTAATTTAAGAAACAGATCAAGCATTAATTTTTCTTTATGCTTACTGAACCCAGAATTTTACAGCATTGTTACCCTAACAGAACCTTTTTTTTTCTATACTTTGCTTTTTCATTGCATTTTCTGTGTCATCATGCTCACTTAACAATCATGGGAAGTGCAGATATCATGTTTACACTGGTGCTAAATAAATGTAATCAGAGATCACACCTTTTAGAGCACCATAAATGCCCCATTATGTTCACGTTATCGACTGATACTTGTGGATGTAATTATCACAGCCGTGCTGGAAGCAGAAGACATAGATCTGTATCTACGCCCTCTAAGGAGACTGATTACAAACTTGGAGGAGAAGAGTTTTCCACAGGTGGATGCGCTATTACCTCCTCTTTTTCACACGCTCTGCCTCATCTGGAGTCATTCCCAGTATTACTGCACTCCTCAGCGAATGGTGGTGCTTCTGCAGGAGTTCTGCAACCTGATCATTGAAAAGGTACAGGTGATGCATGTCTGTGCACATGTGATGAAAAGGAGACGAAGGAAGAGGAATTAAAAATGTATCTCTGTAACGACTTTGTGTCTGAATACAGGCCTTTGCCTATTTAATCCCTGAAGAATTGTTTAAGATGGAGCTTGAGGAAGGGATGGAGAGAGTACAGATAAGCATCTCAGTTCTGCGCACCTTCAAGAAATTGTTTCACACTTACCGCGAGCAGATCCCGAAGTATTACAAACACTCACAGAGCATCAAGCTCTGGGACTTTCCAGCGAAACTTGTGTTTCAACGCTCAGATTGCATCATGGAAAGGCTTCTTATGATCGAGGTCTGTATCTTGGTTTTCCAGGAAAATTGAAAAATCAACATCTCTCACTCCTATAAAGGAGGGAGTATTTTTTTAATCAAGTAAATCTGCATGAAAATGCATATTTTTGAACTTCAGCTCCACGATATTATGCTGATCCATCACTGTCTTTTCTCATTTCACTCGTAGGAACTTTTTGCAACAGCACTGGACTTTCTGAAGCTGGAGAAAATTGAATTAGGTGGATCCAGAGGGAAAATCTTAAGTGAGATGGTCTTCAGCATGAGTGAGGAGTTTCATGACCGCTGGCGGACCCTTAGAGAGAGCAAATATGACCCCTTGGACTGCACTAATGACGTGAGAGCTACTGAGAGAGTTGCCGTTGTTTTTAATATCACGCTGCTCTTTAATTGTGGCATTGGCTGGCACAGGCAAATAATAAAAAATAACAATTATATTTTATTTTTCTGCCCAGCAGTACAATAATTGAAAGGTAGAAAAGCAGAGTAGTTGCTAAGCAACACACAAGAACAAGTGGCAGGAGTCATTATTAGTCAGCGCATCAATATTTAATTTACTGGATATTTTACAACAGTTTTCAGCGTGGCTCAGAACAGGAACTCGATCAGAAATTGATCTGTGTTATAATATATTTCTCTCAAGTATGTGTTAATCCAGTCAATACTGATTAAATGAGCTAAGGAGGAATTTTATGGAATGAAATTGTCTAATAATTTAAATTGAATCAAAGCTTTTTAATCACAAAGGCTTCTCAAAATACCCATCATTTCCCCTCTAATGCCTTCTCAGGATTTTGTGAACCACTATAGGCGTTTCTTGGAGCAGAACAAAGATTTTGACCAAAGGCTGGGAACTGTCCTCAATTTGGCCTTTCAGCACTCCAAAAACCTGAAGTCAGCCTTTAAGGTAGGCGGGTTACTCCTTTAAAAATCATTTAGTAGTTTACTTAAAGTAGCAAGTGTATGACATTTAGCAAGTTAACATAATAGCATCATTTGGTTGTTTTGGGGGATTTCAACTAGTGGTGTGTACATGTTTTGTGCCTTGAATGTACAAAATGTCACAAAGCTGCTGTTGTTCCATCTAGCTGTTGAAGATTTTTGGCACCCTGCTTGAGAGACCCAGAATCCACCAGCTGTTTTCACCTAATTACAGTGTGCTGTTGGACATGTTTAGCCAGGAAGTAGGCCACTGCCAGTTTATACTTGATCAACACAAAGATGGGGTGAGACAGATTGAAATTATGTTCCTAATTACTCGCACACATTTGCTTCACAATACGCCACGATTCAGCTGCCGTATTTTACGCGTGTGTCTGTGTGTGTTGTGAGTGTTTTATGTGTGTATTAATTAACGGTTTGATCAAGTTTAGCAATTTAAAACACTTCATTTTTGTCTTAGCAGTGAGTTTTATAATGTCTCTGGGTACCTGGGTTTTTCCTGCATACATAATTTGATTTTCAGTTGCTCCAAAGAGATTTTAGACTGAATTTTTAAAAAAAAAATTACAAGGGTTGTAATTAAGATTACAATGCTTGGCTATTATTTTTAATTACTGAAGCACATTAGGCATTTTTTTAATCAAATAACCAGACATCTTTGTTTAAGCACATGTGCAATTATTACATGTTTTCATTTACAATTATTGTATGTTTATATGTTTACAATGTAGGTTGTCTGACACACAGGAAAAACAAAATGATGAGATTTCATTTGGGATTGTTCTGTGTCTTCAGTTTTTGGACCCAGCACATTGCTGTGACACACAGGACACTGTGAGAGAAATAAAGTTAAGACCAGCTGGTATTCACAAAATAAATGGCACTGCTAATAAATACATTTCCTGTATACTGGGAGCTTAATTTAAATAATATGAATATTATTAAAAATATGTAAACAGAGCCTTTGCACACTTGCATAAAAATGTAAACATCCACAGCTCACTGCTCTTACACCCAGCGAGAACAGTGTCGTTAATTACAGCGGAAACATAGTGCTGTAACAGCTGCTTCATAAATAGTTTGCATGCATTACATGTTAATTGTAGCCACAGCAGAAGATTTGAGATGACACAAAAGGCACTGGGGTCCACATACTTCCGCGTGAGAGTGTTAACTCAAAGTGATTTGAAAGATTAAGCTGTCAGCCAAATGGCATGAAACCTTGTGTTTCAGCTGCAGTCAGGTTTTGCGATCCTGGGAAAGAATATGCCTCAAGTGGCCGGTAACCTCAAATGGTCGCAGGAGCTCCGAAGCCGGATTCTGACTCACAGGAGTAACCTCTGCCAGCTGCCCCACATGTAAGAACCTACCTAATAAACACAATAAGGATGATTTTAGAATATTTTTTGGTGCAAAGCACTTGGTTATTAATCACTAAGGGTATTAAATCAATAAAATGTTACCTTCCTCAGTTGACATACTTGGGTTTTGAAACCCAGCAGATCCATTGATGTTATTATTATAATTTGCAAAATTTGCACCGAAAAAAGTTTAAAAAATATATATCTTGTGTCCATTGATTATTTAAAGATTTAAAAAGAACATCAAACATTCAAGGCTTTAAGCAGTCAGCTGTAACTAATATTTCAGATTCATGTACCCTGTATTTAATCATCTGACCAACAATGTGTACCTAAAATATGTATTTTGGTTATAAACACTTTTTTTTTTTTGCATTTAGCATATTCATTACAAAAATTTATTTATTTTACTGTTTCTGCCAAATGTTTACAGGATACACATGACTTATACTTCACTTGCTATATAATTCTTTTCCTGCATTATCTCTTTCTTTCTCCGTCTCTCTTTCAGGCCCCTGGATTGTGCAGAGGCACAAGATGTCCTCCAGAGGTGTGAACGCGTTCTTGAGGTTTTGGACCAGCGTGATGAGGAGATGTTCTTAGAGTGGACCGAGGGGCTTGAAGAAATCTGTGAAACACACCTCAAGGAGCCACTGTTGGCACTGGATAGTGAAACTGGCTTCTTCCAGGTCAACTTCAGTCCTGGTGTAAGCCCAAAGACGATTGATTTTTGAACAGACTTTAAAAACAGATAAAAGATATTCCATAGAGGAAAGTAAAGGTGAAAATCTAAAAGTCACAGTCATTTTGACTGTATGAGTTCAGAAGTGAAATGACTTGTCAGACTGCTTCTTTAAGCTCTGCAGGAGAGCGATCGAGAGAAATTCAAGGTTTTGTGAAGAAAACTTACTAGTATCAAATTGAGCTCATAGAGTGTTTTTCTCTGCTAAGTCATTATTCAAACTAGTGCCTCTGTCTGCATTTCTTTCAACTCAAGGTTAATAAACCCACATTTTCATCCACTAAACTCACTTTGTGAAACATTCCCCAGAAGTAGCAACAGCAGTTTGATACACAGATGAAGCATATTTTACTAGTATAATTAATCACCATGGGAGGAAACAATGGATACACATAAATATAAAATATGAGAAGGTGTTTGGTAACTGATATCTATTCCAAAATCATGTACTATAATCTATGGAAATCAGATTGTACTTTCTTTTGTTGTTACTCTCCACAGTTAGCATCTGTGCTAAGAGAAGTGAAATATCTGGGCATGCTGAAGACCCAAAACATTCCCCAAGCAGCTCTTCATCTCTATTCTAAACGAGAGAGACTACACATGGTAGGTCATTAACCCTCAAGCAGTTTTCTGGACTTGACAGCTTTCTTTAGAAAGCGTGTTTTTTAGAAATATGTTGGGGGTTTTAATGCTGCATTTTATTATGCAGTACACACAAACACTGACTTTGGTGACCCAGTGGTACAACCAGCTCCACAGCACCATCCTAGCTGTAGAGCTGGGACTGGTCAAAGATGAGATGGATGGGATGAGACGACAGCTGAATCCAGCCCTCCGGGAAGTGACATGGGCTCAGGATGACCTATGGGACTACATTCAGAGTACACGAGACCTGGCACAGGTACTGTAAATATGCAGGAAATGTTGTACTGAACTTAAAGCAAACAAAAAGATGCAAGGCAGTGCCTGCATTAATGGGTGAGTTTCCTGTACATGTGTTGGTTGAGACTATTTTGCAGCATATTTAAATGATTTTGCTTTTTTCAGTAGAATAAACACTGTCTCTGTCAACATTTGGGCTGATTTATTTTAAAAAAGCCAGCGGTCGCCTGTCTGCATGAAACCCCAGAATCCTCTGTGTGTGGGCCAAGCTAGTTTTCTTAATTATAGCCCTATCTCAGAGCGCTTCAACTCTACAGCAAGCACTTGAAAAACAAAAAGCAACATGATGCCGGAAACATAATTATTGCCTGTAATTGTTGCTCCTTTTTTTTTTTTTGCCATCGCCAGAGCATTTCTAGTCGTGTCCAGAAGAGCAAAGCTAATGTGGAAGCAATCCAGGCCTTGATGGGTAAATTCAGCAGCCGGGCTTTCATTACCAGAAAGAGTCGTGATTCTACTCTCCTCGTTTTCGCTGACATTGAAGAGAGTGTTTCCAAACAGCATGCTCTCATTACTAGTACAGGGGAGCAGATACACAAACTACTGCAGGTATATTCATCGTATAATCTCCATGCTGGAGAGATGCTGTGCACACATTGCAAATGTTAACACAACCGATATTCATGAGTATGTTTATTTGGTGTTTAAACTTTTCATTCAACACATAATTTTCAGGAGAACCAGTCTCTCCTCAGTGTGACGGATCTTGACAGCAGTGAGTGGCATGCCTATACTGAGTATGTTGACAGGATGATCCTGGCAGGCTTCACCAGCGCAGTACGCTGCTCTCTGCAGTACCTCATGGACAATACAGATGCAGCTCAGCGTATTACACCTCTGTTTGAAGTCCAGTTGGTTCTCAACAGCAATGAGATGACCTTTGACCCTTCATTAGACTTGAGCCACACTGGTAACTTCTATGATATTGTGGATAAGATGGTGGGCAACATTACAAGCATGGCTTCCCTCATTCCTAGAGTGGCAAGTCACAAACAGCTGAGTAACTACCAGGTACCACACAGATTAGATTATAAATGCATATACATATACATACATATATTTCCATGTAAACAGACCCTTATCATAAGCAATCTTGATTTTCCATCTTGCAGGGTGACATTAATGAAATGGAGGATTTGTCAGACATGTGCCACATAATCCGCTCACGGGCACGTGCATCTGTTGCTAAGGTTAGTGACATTTCTTTCTGGTCACATGTGGAAGATTATTTTATGAAGTTTACAGGCGAATAGTTGTGAAAGTGTTTATTTACAGGTCAGGGAGTACCAGGCATCATTTTCTAGCTACCGCTACCTCTGGACTGATGACAGGTCAGCTGTGTGTGGCTGTTTCTGATTTGTTTTGATTGTTAGCAAGTACAGAAATAATTTTTGAATTGTCTCATATGTTCACAGGTCTGAATTTATGAGACAGTTCCTACTTTATGGACATGCGTTAAGTACAGAGGAAGCTGAGCTGTATGCCGACTACGAACTAAAGAAGAACCCACCCACCCTGGACAACTTTAAAGAACAAGTATGTTCAACATTTGTGATCCATTTATGCTGTAACCTTGGTTTATTTCACTCACATTTGGAAAGCAATGCAACAATAATAACTGAATTATTCATTATTTCAGATCAATCTGTTTGAGTCACTGTATGTGCGAGTGAGCAAAATGGAGGACCGAAGGGTGTTTTGTGGTTGGCTACAGCTAGATATCAGACCCTTCAAGCACACACTGATGAATGTCATTAAAAAGTGGAGCTGGATGTTCAAAGAGCACCTTCTTAACCACGTGAACCAGAGGTCAGACACATAAAAGTCAAAATAAATAAAACTTTTTTATCATTTAAAAGACATTTTTTAAAGCCAGTCCTCTGAAACCTCACTTCATCTCCTTACTTCTCTATTTAACAGTGTGAGGGAATTGTCCCAGTTTGTCCAGGACACAGCATGTGGCCTTTCCACCAAGGTGTCAGATGGCGATTATGCAGGCCTTGTGAAAATCATGGGGCACCTCATGGCCATACGAGACAGACAGATCAGCGACGAACAGCACTTCAAACCGCTCAAGTCTACCGCTGAACTTCTAAAGACCTACGGACAGCAGCTTCCAGAGAGTGTCTGCACACAGCTAGAAGTGTGAACCAATTCAAAAACACACATTTTTTCATTTATCATAGGCGATATGTACAGTTATCAGTGCTTCTTTCCCACACAACACAGGAGCTGCCGGAAAAGTGGAAAAGTGTCCGAAAAATTGCCTTCACGGTCAAACATGAGGTGGCACCACTACAGTCAAATGAGGTTTCAGTTATCCGCAGGAAATGTGTTCGGTTTGAGGTGAGGCTTTGTGTGATTGGGGTAGGATGTCAGTCTGGCAAAGAGCTCAATATCTGACACATAAAACCTCTTTCCTGCATTATATATATGAAACCCACACAGTGTCTGTAAAATGATAGACAGAAAGGTAGAGGCAGATATGCATTAATCCTTAATTTGCTATGATTTCATACTTTAGGTCAAACAGCATGAGTTCAGAGAACAATTTCGTTCAGAGTCAATCTTTAAAATCAGTGTGGAGGAGCCATATAAGCTTATTGATAAGGTGAGCAGGGGGCACATTTCTTTTAGTGTCTGTTAAAGGAGAAATCTTAACAGTACTTCTTTCAAATGTAGTACACAGTGTGTGATTAAAGAAAATTTAAATAACATATCAAAATCGCCTGCAGTGTAATCGAGGCGTAGCTACGATGGAGATGGAAATGAAGAAGTTGCAGGACACAGCTGATCTGTTTGAGGTCAGCTTCCCAGAATACAAGCAGCTGCGGCAGTGTCGCTCTGACATCATACTTGTCAAAGCAGTATGGGATATGGTCGTCTTTGTAAAGGTAGGGTTGAACTCCAGAAAGTTGGGATGGTGTGTAATATGTAAATAAAAACAGGCAGTGATTTACAAATTTACAAATATCATTTTATTCTCTGTTGGACACAGAAAACATTTCATGTCATGAACTGAGGTGTGTGGCAGGCAGAGAGTGGACAGCTTTTTTTAATATCACAGCTTTTATTGTGCTGGCAAAAAAAACAGAAATCAAAAGCTAAATAATGTGGACAGTGATGGGGCTGTAACAAACTAACTAAAGAGACTGACAGAGACTACACACACCATGAGGGTAGACACGACAAAGAACAGAGAGAGATGCAGAGAGTATATAGACAGAAGGGAATTAAGGCAGATTGAACACACCTGTGAACACAGCTGAACAGAATCTAAATAAAGAGACACAAGAAGCAAAACTGAGACAGAGACAGGAGCTCGATGCAGGGACCAGCGCTAAACATACATGGAAACATAACTGACTGGGGAGACAAAAGGATAAAACAAAAGATTATGGGCAGAGGAAAGCATAAACATGAGGAATAGGAAGGAAGACATATTAACTTGGAATGGAGATTGGGAAACCAGGTAGAACCCAGGAAGACCAGAGAGACACAGGAACATGACCAGGGAGACAGAAAGCGTTGAAAACACTGAGATACTGATGACACGACATGTAGATGAGACTAGGGCAGACCAGGCACAGAAAAGGGTACTCACGTAATCAAGAACCACGAAGTAGAAATATAAATAATGACAACTCATAGGCACTAGGAAATACTGAAGTCAGGACTAATACAGAACTAAAACCCTGAAAATCTTTTAATTCAAAAAGAATGAATCGCAAAACAAAACTCAAAATAGATCACAGCAGCATTTCTGGATCATGCTCACATGTGGCCTCTTCTTTGCATGACAGAGCTTTAACCTGTGTTGGTAGATGGCACAGTGAACTACACTCACAGAAAGGGATTTCCATGTAATAAACATTATTTCAAGTTGAGGAACATTATTCTGAAAGTGTTGCATAATTTCTAAACACTTTATTTACATTTTACACACCATCCTGCCTTTTTGGAATTGGGGCTGTAAATACAAATATGCTATTTTTTTTAATACAAGGCAGGGTCTCCATAGTGAGTCACTGCATGCAAAATAATCAAATGATGCACTTAATCTCCTGCAAATCCTAGACCAGTATAGAGGATTGGACAAAGACTCCATGGAAAGAGATCAACGTTGAGCAGATGGACATGGAACTCCGGCGGTTTGCTAAAGTACAGTACAGCACTCTTCTCTGGATAGATACTTGAACTTTGATTCAGTTTAACTGTTTCATGTTTGAAACAAGAGTACCTTTTCAATAACTGTGAGTATGTCTGTTGTCTGTTGAAGGAGATGAAAATGCTGGATAAGGAGGTGCGTGTGTGGGATGTCTATATGGGTCTGGAATCAACAGTGAAAAACCTATTGACCTCTCTGAGAGCTGTCAACGAGCTGCAAAACTCAGCTGTCAGGGAGAGACACTGGCAACAGCTTATGAACACCACTGGGGTAGGGTATCTGTGCTGCTGCTGCTACACAGTCTCTCATACCATCTGTTGTGCCATTTTTCATTTTGTTTGTTTGTCTGTGTGTCAATGAGATTATCCAAAAGTTACAAGTCCAAATTTCATTAAACTTGGTGGCGGAGTGGAGAATGTGTATGAGAACAGCCCATTAAATTTTGGTCCTCATACAGTTTTTTTCTTTAAATTTGTTAGCGCTTTGGTCTTGGCAGAGGACTGCCCCAAGTGCTCTTCTTGTTCAGTAACTTTTCATCAGTTTTACTCATGGTATATTATACTTGCCACTCTGTGGGGGTTAATCCATTCGTTTGGCTGTAGTTTTCATGCAGTGTGCTCTCATTGTTCTGCAGACACTTCTCTGGATTTGATGAACCCAGTTATCTGAAATTTGATCACACCCATAGTCTGCTTTTGTTTTTAAATCTTCAGGTTAGGTTTGTGATGGGTGAGGGCACCACCTTGGGGGACCTGCTGGAATTGCAACTTCATCGTGTGGAGGATGAGGTTAAAAACATAGTAGACAAGGCCGTGAAAGAAATGGCCATTGAGAAGGTAAGACGCCAGACCAACCAGTTACTGTGTGATATATCTTGTAGTAGTGGATTATTGATGGATGGATTATTTAATTACTTAAGCACTCACTAGACTTTCATCATATTCTTAGAACAGATATTTATGAGCAGATTCAGAAAGCTGAACTCACAAATAATGACACACAAATAGGAATGAGCCAATGTTAACGAATGCTTTAGCTTGTTTTTTGGTTGTCTTTAAATGACAGGCGTCTTTGTGAAGTATCTGTCTTTGGGGGTTTTTTAGGTTTTGGCAGAGATAACCCAGACATGGAGCATTATGTCGCTGTCCTATGAGACTCATGCCAGCACAGGAACCCCTCTGCTCAAAGCAGATGAGAATCTGATAGAGACGCTGGAGGACAACCAGGTGTGCCTGCCTGCTGCAGAATGTGATATGCAGTTTGCTTTATTCTTTCAAATTGCAATATTAACACCCCAGCGATCCATAATATAGTTTTAGTATGAACGGCTTGGGTTTATTACTGACTCCTGAAAGACTAGTTATATAAATGCATAGGCAATGGGGAATTTAAAAAATGTTCATGCAATTTCAAGAGCAGCTCATCAGGGCTTCTTTGTACAAATTGCCATTTAAAGTTACTGCTTCATTTCTTTTCAGGTGCAGCTGCAGAATATCCTGATGAGTAAGTACATAGAGTATTTCCAGGCAGAAGTAAGTGGATGGCAGAGGAAGCTGATGGTGGCAGACCTTGTCATCTCATCTTGGATGTCTGTCCAGAGGACCTGGGCCCATCTTAACAGCATCTTCACCAACAGCCATGACATCCGCTGCCAGCTGGCCAATGATGCTGAACGCTTTCAGGGAATACACACTGACTTTCAGGTAAATCATACCTCTGCCTACATATAGTGCCATGCTTGGCTACATATTTTTAGCATGTCTTTTTGCATTTCTCCCTTTATTTCCTTTGATTTGTTTGTTTGTTTTAATCAGAGTTTAATGACTGAGGTGGTCCAGAACAGTAATGTAGTAGATGTGACCAACAAGCCTGGCTTCCTGGAGAGCCTTGAGACCTTACAGCAGAGGCTGTCTCTGTGTGAGAAGGCCCTTGCTGAGTACCTGGAGACCAAGAGACTGACATTCCCCAGATTTTATTTTGTCTCTGCCTCCGATCTACTGGAGATTGTGTCTAAGGGAACACAGCCCAGACAGGTGATAGATTACATTTTAATCATGTTTTTCTAGAAAGAATCTATAAAGAGATTGTTAGCACGTTGTGGTTATCTGTACTTTATATACCAACTATATTCCAGTGTTATGGAGTGGAAGAAGTGAAAATGGAAAAACACAATAATGAAAGGCAAAAGAAATCTTTTTTTCTTTTTGATTTGTTATCAGAGATCGGGGTCTGTTAACGTCAGAGCTTTGTTAACATCATAGCCTATAAAACCAAACTCAAAAATAGTCTGTGTGTCTTTTGAATACACATATATATTTTTTCCAGGTGACCCGACACTTGCTGAAGCTGTTTGACAATATAGCAGATCTTCGCTTCAAGGACTCAGACCGGGCCGAAGGACGGGGGGAGGAGGGGGAGGCAGTTGCGATAGGGATGTACAGTCGAGAGGGAGAATATGTTTCGTTCTCTGAGCCCTGTGTCTGCGAAGGACAGGTACTGTGAAAACAAAATGCGGTTTCTGTTTGTGGAAGTACATCAGCACCGTTTTATTTGAAAAAATATGATATTGCATGCAATTCATTTTAGAGTTTTTTTCAAACATTTTTATTTTTTTTAATCAGGCAGAGTGTTGGTTAAGTGCTTTAGAAACCACCATGCGCTGTACAGTTCGAAAGGAGATACAGGAAGCTGTAGCTGCCTATGAGGACAAACCCCGAGACCAGTGGCTGTTTGACTACCCTGCCCAGGTCTGTTCATGCAAAGTCTGTAGATTTACAATTTTAACTTTATAAACATGCAAGCTATCTGTTGTACACCTCTGTTTCCTTTCCATCAACAGGTGGGGTTGACTGGTAGTCAGGTGTGGTGGGCGACAGATGTGGGCATTGCTTTTGAGAGGGTGGAGGAAGGATTTGAGACAGCTCTCAAGGACTACAACAAGAAACAGGTACTTCCATAATGTAAGATTTTATTAGGCTGGTAAGTGATCGTAGCATCATTGTATTTGTCAGTGATGTCTGCTGAATTCTGGTTTTCTAGATCACACAGCTCAACTTGCTAATCCACATGCTGCTTGGCGATTTAACCCCTGGAGACAGACAGAAAATTATGACTGTCTGCACTATTGATGTCCATGCTCGAGATGTGGTCGCCAATCTCATTACTCAAAAGGTACTGCGACTATTAGATATTATTTCAAATGAGTTTTGCATTAGTTAGCAGACCATCCTGATGCTGTTGTATGTCTCTAAGGTGACATCAGGACAAGCATTTGCGTGGCTGTCCCAGTTACGGCATCGCTGGGATGAAGAAATGAGACACTGTTACATTAATATCTGTGACGCTCAGTTCCAGTTTAGCTATGAATACCTGGGGAATACAAACAGACTGGTTATCACTCCACTCACTGACAGGTATGTGCACATACATGTTCTCCCGTAAGCCAAACCTTTGCAAAAGTATACAGAATGCATACATTAGTAATGATTTGTATTCTAAAGGGAGAGACTTACAGTAAGGGCACGCATAATTACTAGACTTGCTTTGCAACTAAAAACAAGGCCGCTTTACTTTAGCACTAAACATCTTAATGCTACAGTCAAGCTGTGCAGAATGTGATAGTAGGCACCCATGCAAAATGTAAGTGCAAAGATTGAGATAGTTGTTATTTTAGAATAAAGCACAAATACTAAAATCTTGCATATTTGCTTTTTCTATTCACAATATCCACTATACTCAAATACATTACATCGTTGCTTTAAATCTACATTATTTTGAAATGCACAACTTCATTGAATCCAAATTATCTATTACTTTCTTTCTCCTGTGATTTAAATCTCAACCGTACCATGACAGGTGTTACATAACCCTGACCCAGTCCCTCCATCTGACTATGAGTGGTGCTCCGTCAGGCCCAGCTGGCACTGGTAAAACAGAGACTACTAAGGACCTTGGACGCTCCCTGGGTATCATGGTATATGTGTTCAACTGCTCTGAACAGATGGACTACAAGGTGACCTGGACTGCACAGATGTTTCTTCTAGTGCCCGTTAATGTCACATTTATTCTTTTTTTTTATGTTGTTATTGATATTTATTCCACCATTCAGCCATAGCATCTCATCCTCCAGTCTATAGGTAACATCTATAAGGGCCTGGCTCAGACAGGAGTGTGGGGTTGCTTTGATGAATTCAACCGGATCTCGGTGGACGTTCTGTCTGTGGTAGCTGTGCAAGTCAAGACTATACAGGATGCTGTACGCAACAAAAAACAGAGGTATTATGAGGAAATAATGACATGTATGTTGTAGCATCTATACATTTGTCTACTAATCCATTCTATATATTTTCTAAGCATCCATTTAGCAGCATGCATTTGTTGCTGTGTATGTAGGTTTCATTTTCTGGGGGAGGAGATTGAGCTGAAGCCAACAGTAGGAATCTTCATCACTTTGAACCCAGGTTATGCTGGAAGAGCAGAGCTCCCAGAGAACCTCAAGGCTCTATTCAGGTCTGATATGAGACAAAGAGGAGACTTTAGCGTGCAATGAATAGCAGCTATTATATGATTATTTATTGGTTAATTTTCTAAATGCTCAGGCCCTGTGCAATGGTGATCCCAGATTTTGAACTGATCTGTGAGATCATGTTGGTGGCCGAAGGATTCATAGATGCACGGCTACTGGCACGCAAATTCATCAGTCTCTACACTCTTTGTAAAGAGCTGCTATCCAAACAAGTGCGTACATACAAACAATTTGTCTGACTATTTCTTCAGGGGGTTTTCTGATGAGCGGAGGGAAGAAGAGGAATTTAATTTCGCTGTCAATGTTCTTATACGCATCAGAAGTGTGGTCCAGCTTTTATTAAAATGCAAAGTAGTGGTGGTGCTATTCATCAGATTGTGGTTTTGTGATGTAGTGAATATAGTAAATAATAAAAATATCAACTATTTTTGCTTATACTGTGTAGAGTACTAGCTCTCAGCTGAAACTGGCTGTTTGTGTCCTTCTATTATAACATCAACAAACACTTAAATGCTTATTTTGTCAGGATCATTATGATTGGGGTTTGCGGGCTATCAAATCAGTGCTGGTTGTGGCTGGATCTCTGAAGAGAGAGGAGCGTAGCAGACCTGAAGAACAGGTGTGTATCTCTTCGCGATCACTAATGACAGCTGTTCTTTACACTGAAGTGTTTCAGCTCTCATGGTTGTTTCCAGAAATTTGAGGTTGTCAGAAATTGCCTCATCAAAACTGTGCGTCCAATATTGTCTCACCAGGTGTTGATGCGGGCTCTTAGAGACTTCAACCTTCCTAAGATCGTGACGAGTGATGTTCCCATCTTCCTTGGGTTGATCAGTGACCTCTTTCCACAGCTGGATGTGCCCAGGAAGAGAGACCCAAAGCTAGAAAATGCTGTTCGCCAGTCAGTCAGTGAGCTGCGTCTGCAACCAGAGGAAAATTTCATACTTAAGGTTCATCTGTGTTTTTATTATATAGTATAGTTTATTTGGCAACACCTTTCGTTAGTGGTGGTAACGGTGAACAAACGTTAATTTTAGATTTCTCAGAATTGTGGGAAAAAGAAAAACAGTTGTTATGATAAAAATGTCAAAGGATTATTTTCCTTTTTTCCATCATTCTGTGAGCAACCGTGATGTGGTTTTCATACCGTGCATGGCCTGAGTCTGCAGACAGAGCACAGTGAAGGGATCTGTTACCCCGCTGTGAAGCTGGAGGTGTGGAGTCTGTCACCTGCAGCTCTTCATCTGACAGTTCACTGTGGCTGCTCCTCGTTCCATTTTTCCCTGCAGTATTTCCGTTTTTTGCAGGGAATAAGGAAATACAGACACACAGTTCATAAAGCTTCCAATATATAAACACTAATCAGTTGCCTCCTATTGTGTTCATTCAATTAGTGATTTAATAGACAAAAATCTGTAAAATCTAATAGAAGTATTAAATTAAGTGTTAAACTGCTTCTTTTTCAGTGGCATATGAGCAATGATAGTTAAGGATGATCTGAAATCAACATGCCAGATCACTTTACAAACACATTCATAAAGTTCTGAGCTAATTTTAACTTGGGGGAAATGCATAATTCCCACAGGTCAATAGAGGAACAATATATAAAGCTTTGTGGTTTGTAACATAAACTAATTGTTAATCATTTTGGTTGTATTTTTTTATTGTAAGGTGAGACAGCTCTCTGATTGAACTTGCAGTATTTTAGAGGTTTTTTTTTTTAGAAATCCCACCATTAATGTGATTCCATGTTTGCAGGTGACCCAGCTGGAGGAGCTGCTGGCTGTTAGACATTCTGTATTTGTAGTTGGTGGCCCGGGTACTGGAAAAAGTCAGGTTAACTTAACTAATGAACATTTTTAAAACTGTTTATGTGTTTTTGTTTTAGTTTTAATATCTGTGTGATCCAACTTCTTATACCCAAAATATGCCCAAACATATTAACTAAAACTACTTATATAAATGATCTTGTTTACTTATCAGATCTTGAAGACCCTTCATAGGACTTATGCAAACATGAAGATGAAGCCCTTATGGAATGATATTAACCCTAAAGCTGTTACCACAGATGAGCTGTTTGGATACCTGCACCCTGCTACCAGAGAGTGGAAGGATGGTGAGAAGCAGGAGGATTATACAAAGGATTTAATGTGCAATAAATGATGATCAAGAGAACCAGTTTTTCCTCCAGAATTTGGGTCGCTGTCAAGTCTGATTTATTTTGGTGCCAAGACCATAATTTATTCCAAAGCCTCCTCTCAGAAATAATTAGAAAGTTAATGCACTTTTTCTATTTCACAGCCCACTCCTGTTTAAATAGGTTTCGTGTGCAATATTTTCATTACCAGTTCATTTCACAATTTTGCATTCAATACCTTTTTTGCTGCAGTGATGGTTTAGTATGTAAAAATGGATTTACCATGTGTCACTGTTTCCTTTTACAGGTCTGTTCTCCTCTACCATGAGAGAGCTGGCCTCGGTGGGCCATGATGGACCCAAATGGATTGTTCTGGATGGGGATATTGACCCTATGTGGATCGAGTCACTCAACACAGTTATGGATGACAATAAGGTAAAAGATCATCTCTATGTTTTTTTGTCTTTCATCCAGGAGTTTGAATATGTCTCCAAATAAGTAATCAATTTCTGCCAATGCCAGTCATTAAGTTAGTGCATACTTTATATTTTTGAACCAGTGCTTGAGCTCCACTCCTTCTGCTTTTCCCTCCACATCCAGGTTCTGACACTTGCCAGTAACGAGAGGATCGGCTTGTCCTCGTCCATGCGTCTTCTCTTTGAGATCTCTCATCTGAAGGCTGCTACTCCAGCTACAGTGTCAAGGGCAGGAATACTCTATGTCAACCCACAGGACTTGGGTTGGAGCTCGTAAGACACACACAATGCTTAAATGCACGCATAAAATCACAGTCTTCTGTTTCTTTGATTTTCTTAAGGTTATCTTGGTTAGCAGAGCTGCCTTTACTGTGTTTTCAGTTATGTGACAAGTTGGATCGACACACGGCAAGCCCAGTCAGAGCGAGCCAACCTCACTATTTTGTTTGATAAGTACGTGCCATACTGTCTGGAACAAGTTCGCTGCAACCTGAAAACCATCACACCCATTCCAGAAAACAGCATGGTGCAGGTACATATAGGGTTTTATGGATATCAAATGCAGCCTGCAGAGCCATAATATTATATTTTTCTGTTGTTATTGTTCAGTCACATGCAGCATTTCTGTGTTTTGCTCAATCAGACATTGTGCTCGTTGTTGGACTGCTTGCTGATTGAGGACAACACTCCAGCCGATTCTCCCAGAGAACTCTATGAGATCTACTTTGTCTTTGCCTGCGTCTGGGCTTTTGGAGGCGCTCTCTTTCAAGATCATGTGTGCAGTGACTAACTGTTCCTTCTAATCGTATCAGATAATTCACATTATTATACCATATAATGACAGTGTTTTTACCTTTATAGCTCAATGACTACCGTGCTGAATTTAGCCGCTGGTGGTCCAAAGAGATGAGAGCCGTAAAGTTTCCCTCACAAGGGACCGTCTTTGACTATTTCATTGACCCTGAGACTAAAAAGTTTACTCCGTGGAGTGAGAAGATGGTGCCATTTGAGCTGGAGCCTGATATTCCGTTACAGGTATGTTATTACAGCAGGCCAGAGTGTCCTGTATAATTATAACATGTTGATTTAGATCTCTCAGCACGCTCATCCACTGTCTGTTTCAGACGGTGCTTGTCCACACTCCAGAGACCATCTGTCTCACCTACTTCATGGACCTTCTGCTTCAGAGAGGCAAACCTATCATGTTAGTGGGCAATGCAGGAGTGGGAAAAACTATTCTGGTGTCTGATAAAGTCGCTAAGCTGAAGGAGGATTACATAGTAGCAAAAGTTCCCTTCAACTACTACACTACATCTGCCATGCTGCAGCGTAAGAGTCTCTGAAACGAGCATACACAAACAGATTTTTTCACATGTGTATTTTTTATTAATTTAACAAATTGTATAATACATATAATAATCTAATAATTAGGGAAATATAATAAGACAAATCTAATAATCTGAAAAAAGGCTTCTAATGAGATATGTGTGCTTCCTGTCTATGCATTGTGTTATTGTGGTAGTATCTAATTGTGTTTGCCTATTCATACTGATTGAATGGCACAGGCTTCATAAAAAAAAAAATTCTGAGTTTCCCTGTATCTTCAATTCTTTTTTCCTTCAAATTTCAGTTCAGATTTTCAGTCAGTGAGTTTCTGTGAAGACTGTTGTCACTTTGTCATTTTCCTAAACTTGTGTATTAAATGTACTCCAGGCATCTTGGAGAAACCTCTAGAGAAGAAAGCTGGTCGTAAATTTGGCCCTCCCACCGCCAAGAGACTTATCTACTTCATAGATGACCTCAACATGCCTGAGGTGGATGTTTATGGGACTGTCCAGCCACACACCCTCATCCGCCAGCACCTTGATTACAGCCACTGGTAGGATAAGACGCATGTGATGGACTCGCATATTTATACTGCTTTCATACTGCCAAAGTGTACAAATACACATATATACCCTGTACACAACTGTTACACAGAGTTTAGTGCTTAGTGTGAATTTTAACCAACAGGTCTTTGTACTGTAGGTATGACAGACAGCGGCTGGTTTTGAAAGAAATCCATAACTGCCAGTATATCACCTGTATGAACCCAACAGCTGGAAGCTTCTCTATCAACCCCAGACTGCAGGTACTGCCACACATTTGCAAGTTCTTTATGCGTAAATTTTATTTGTTCATAAATGTTATTATCAAAATTCTCCTATCTACTGAAACTATACTCGATCACTATGGCTTTGTACATAATTTCATTGAATACTTATTTAGAAAAATTAGTTTCAAAGGGAACCATGTTTATGTTTTCCTTTGAAACACAAAAGAAAAACAGCCAAAGACATGCAGAAACCTTTTTTTGGCTAATAAGAAAAATTTAAAGGTAGTTCAGAATGCAGCTTTCTCAGTTTAAGTGGGTCCAGCCACAGATTACTGTTGGTAAAATCTTTACTGCCTCCATTTCAGAGGCATTTCTCAGTGTTTGCAGTGCATTTCCCCAGTGCTGATGCATTAGCTACCATCTTCTCCAGCATCTTGTCAGCTCACTTTCTTCAGGGAGGGTTTAGCTACGGGGTCTCTCGCTCAGTTGGAACTCTCATTCAGGTACTGTACACTTACACTGCCAGTGCAGCATTCATTTCTATTAAAACTTGACTTGAGACAACATTTATCTGTTTCTGTGTCACTATCTTTTGATTCTCCTCAAACAGGCAGCTATCTGCCTGCACCAGAAAATTAGCCAGAACTTTCTTCCTACAGCCATACGCTTCCACTATATCTTCAATCTGCGAGACCTTTCCAACATATTTCAGGTAACACACTTTGCTCAGTCATCCAGAAAAAAATAAAAACATAAAAATATAACTGAAATAATACTTACTTCTGTTGAAGATCTTTTCCTTGAACTGCTTAAAAGGATGCTGTTGACTCCTTTTTTCACTCATGGTAGCAAATACGAAAACGTCATATGAATCCATTTGCAAAACTGTCATTGGTGGCAACTTGCTTTAGATTTGACTTTTGTAGGAATGTTAATCCTGAAAAACTGAAAATTCTGGTGTCAAAAGTTCTCTCGTGGAATAGTTATGTGTTTATTAATACGATTTCTGTATAGGGCATCCTGTTTGCCTTGCCAGAAAGCATCCGTTACCCCATGGACCTGGTCCACCTGTGGCTGCATGAGAGCTCCAGGGTCTACTCAGACAAACTGATGGAAGAAAAAGATGTAGAACTCTTTGATAAAATCCTGTTGGACACTGGCAAGAGATATTTTGAAGTAAGACATGGGCGATTCAAATTGCAACCTTAATCTTAAAAATCTTTCAAAATGTAAGAGGTATCGCAGAAGTGATGCTTTTGGTATTTAGTATTAAAGCCAGCTATGGCATGTTCAGTATTTTCTTGTTTGTTTGTCCTGCCAACCTCTCCAGGGAATAGATGAGTCCATCTTTATCCACCAGCCTTTGGTGTACTGCCACTTTGCCCAGGGAGTGGGAGAGCCTCGCTATCACCAGGTCTGACACATTCACACACACACAAGCTAGTCTGCACTCCAAGTTCTTTATGGAGATTAAAATAAGAATTAAGAGTGTAGTCAAATACGTTATGGGAGTTTAATTGTTTATTACTTGAATCTGTACTGTAGCATACTTATTTAGTGGCCTCCAGATGTGTCGTATCTGCTCTGACAGAAACCAGAAATGAGGATGACTGTATTGTTGCTAGCAAAAAGATTGCCTGTCTTTGATATGTGTGTGGCAACTTAGTTTCATTGTATATGGAATTTACCACGTAGACACGGGTTAGTGCTGGCTTTCCTCAAGAGAGACAAGTTTATTTGTTTTATTTCTCCTTTCTTGTCAGGCTTCAGACTGGGAGAAGCTCCAGAAGACATTGGCTGATGCTCTAGAGCACTATAATGAGTTGCACGCTGTCATGGACTTGGTACTGTTTGAAGAAGCGATCCAGCATGTGTAAGAGACACACACAGACACAAACTAACATGCACAAAGAAGAATTTACAAAGCAAATGTAAACCACAGGCAAGAAACACACCATCAGTTCTGTGTTTGTACCCAGGTGTCGCATCAGTCGTATACTGGAGGCCCCCTATGGTAATGCCCTGCTGGTTGGAGTTGGTGGGAGTGGGAAGCAGAGCCTGTGTCGACTGGCTGCTTTCCTCAGCATGCTGGAGGTTTTCCAGATCACGCTGCGTAAAGGTTATGGAATCAATGACCTCAAAGTAAATATGCACTTCCACATGCAAAACACGGTTGTATATCATAACACATCTGTTTTGAATGATTTGGGATGTTTTTTTTTTCCCTGCTTTGTGTTTGCTGCAACCCTTGTCTGCAGAGTGACATAGCTGCATTGTATATAAAGGTGGGGGTGAAGAATATTGGGACAGTGTTTCTTCACACAGATGCCCAGATTCCAGATGAGCGCTTCCTGGTGCTGATCAACGACATGCTGGCCTCAGGTTTGGATACACAGACCGGAACTGAGATAACTGAGATTTCTGCTTTAATAGCTGTCAGATCTAGGAAATGAATGTCATTTCTGCAAAAACTATTTTTGGATGGTGTCAGTGGCTTTGAGAGCATAGAGTTGTGCATTTGAATAGATAGCAAAGAAGGCTCATTTGGTCACATAGACCTGCTCCAAGTAAGAGTGACTATATAAGAAAGAACAAATACACAGTGAGCTCGCATTCTTTGCATTTGTAGGGGATATTCCTGACCTTTTTAGTGATGAAGAAGCAGATATGATTGTTTCATCAATCCGTATGGAGCTGAGGGGATTAGGACTCATAGATACCAGAGACAACTGCTGGAGCTTTTTCATCGAAAGGATACGAAGACAGCTCAAGGTCTATAATGCAAACCATGTAGAAACCATGATGTAATGATTAGTGTTGATAGTCATCTCACCTTCTCCTTTTGTCACCCTTTCTGCCCTCCAGGTCGTCTTATGTTTCTCTCCAGTTGGATTCACGTTAAGGACACGTGCACGGAAGTTTCCAGCCCTAGTAAACTGCACAGCCATAAACTGGTTCCACTCTTGGCCTCAGCTTGCTCTGCAGTCCGTCAGCTCTACTTTCATAGAGAAAATACCTGGACTGGAGGTGCTTCTTGTTTAAATTCTGTGATACAATCTAAAGCTGCTTTTAAAAGTACTAACTCTGATGCTGATTATGCAAGTGTTTCAAATAGTAGATACCTAATAAGCATAAATAGGAACTAAAATAACTATTAACGTAGACACATGTCTATAGCTACTTTTATGTGAATTAATCAAATAAGAAGGTTCTTCTTGCTCTCTCAGTGAAGTGAGTCAATGTGTGTGTTCATACTGTGCAGCCAAATGTGAGAGCATCTATCAGTGAGTTCATCTCCTACGCTCACACGAGTGTCAATGAGGTAAGAGCTGCTGCACAGCACTGCGAGCGATGACCTCTCTTGATGTCTTCTTTGATATGATTTCTTGGTTTCCTTGTTGTGAATTCACCTCACAGGTGAGTGTCAAATACCAGCAGAATGAGAAGCACTTCAACTATACCACGCCAAAGAGTTTCCTAGAGTTTATGAAGTTGTACGACAACCTGTTGAGAAAGAAACGCACAGAGCTGACTCAGAAGATGGAAAGATTAGAGAATGGACTTCAAAAACTGCTGACTACCGCGTCACAGGTCAGGGGGGAAAAAACACCACATTGCACCAGTGTATACAAAAGTTTGTGTTTCTTGTTCTTACTTATTTTTTCTTTAGGTGGAGGACCTCAAAGCCAAGTTAGCAGTGCAGGAGGTAGAGCTGTGGCAGAGAAACACAGATATCGAAGCCCTCATTGCTAAAATAGGACAACAGACAGACAAGCTCAACCAAGAGAGAGCTGTAGCTGATGCTGAGGAGCAGAGGGTAAGAGTGTGATTCTAGGGCCTCTCGAGCAGCAAAATGACGGACTTAACGCCATGTATTTTCAGAATTACTGCACATTTTGAGGTTCATTTTAAACCACTTTGTCAATGAGAGGGCCATTAGAGAAGAGAGGGCAGAGAAGTAATAACATAGGTCTGAAACAAGCCAAACTTTCAGCAATCCATTCACAGCATACACACACACGCGTGTTGTATTTTTGTGATTCAGGTGGCAGCAATCCAAGCTAAAGTGACCAAACAGCAACAGGAGACTGAAGAGGACTTGGCGAAGGCTGAACCTGCCCTACAGGCAGCCAACACAGCTCTCAATACACTCAACAGAGTAAAACACTTGCACACACATAAAGTTTTACTTCATTTCATTCGATTTATTTTATGAGTCCATTGCAAGCATAAAAGAAATCTAATAAAGTTGTCCTGAGCTCAGGCCCCTGATTAAAAATGTGGGCGTTTGTGCATTCGTGTGCATCTGTTTGATCTAGTTAAACCTGACAGAGCTGAGGACGTTTCCCAACCCTCCAGCCATCGTCACCAACGTCTCAGCAGCTGTCCTAGTGCTTCTGGCTCCTCAAGGCCGAATCCCCAAAGATCGCAGCTGGAAAGCTTCCAAGGTGGTCATGAGCAAGGTGATAGGATTTTTAGGTTTTAGTTTTCCTTCATTTAATGGCTTGAGACCGCCAAAGTAAATCCATTTTAGGTTAATGTTATGGTAGATCTGGCGACCTGTCCGTGTACTGTATGTAACCTTTCATATGAAAGTTAGGATAGGCTCCAGTCCCCCTGCAAACCCGAACTGGATACACTATTAGAAAAATTAATGGATGAATGAAAACCAAAAAACGAATACAGAACCAAAAAAAATCTCTCTAATCATCTGAGATAAAAAATATTTAACATTTAAAACACGACCTTCTCTTTTAGTCTTCATCCTTGCACAACTCTAATTTAATATTGATTGCGACTGCAGTTATTTTGTTGTGTGACTGTTGGCACTTTTCAATCTGATATACTTTATACTTTGATGAACCCATTCATATTTAATTTTTGTAACATAGGTTCCTTCATATTGTTAATATCTCTTGTGTTGTTGATACCGCCTTGCCTCAAAAACCCTTTTTTTTTAAAGAGAGGTTTAACCTGTGAGGAACTATGCTGGTTGAAAAAAGTAACAACTAAAGCAATGTTCACACTCTGTAGATCAGATATGTTTTTTTTTTAGTTAATTCTACTTTTTGACTCAGGATTTAGAATTCAAAAATGTTGAAAAATATTTTGTTAATTTGAAACCCTTTGATCTAACGCGCACCCGTTTGCACACAAATGCTTGTGCAGGTGGATGACTTCCTGCAGGCTCTGGTAAACTTTGACAAAGAGAACATCCCTGAGGCCACGGTGAGGTGTGTGAGAGATGAGTACCTCAGTGACCCAGAGTTCAACCCTGACTTTGTAAAACAGAAATCCTCTGCTGCTGCGGGCCTTTGTGCATGGGTGATCAACATCATCCGCTTCCATGAGGTACACATCTAAACCATCTGCCACATATATTTAGTGTCATCCAAGCTAATCCATTTGCTATATTTTTTTCTGTGTAAAACACTTTGAGTTTGTTGTTTGATTTGTTTTTTTGCCTTTTTCCCCAAAACTTGTGCTGCCTTGGATAGATTTTTGTAAGTTCATCTCTTCTCTTATTTCTTTATTATAGGATGTTCCTTATAACAAAGGTTATACTGTACTTTAGTTTCAGCTGTAAGGATGTTCTTGTTTCCAGGTGCTCTGCGAGGTAGAGATGAAGAGAATGTGTCTGACTCAGGCTAACGCTGATTTGGCTGAGGCTGCTGAGAAGCTAGACGCCCTGCGGAAAAAACTAGCTGTACGTCTGTTTAAATTGGACAGATTGGATTATTTGGTGCTTGACAACAAAATTAATTAGTTATTTGCAAATGCCAGCATTCATAATATTTTCATCTGTTCCTTTTTCTCCTTTCTCAGGAGCTGGATAGCAGTCTGGAAACTCTGAAAATAGCTTTTGAGAAGGCAACATCGGAGAAACTTCGCTTTCAGGAAGAGGTCAACCGCACAAATAAGACAATAGAGCTAGCTAATCGGCTGGTCAAAGGACTAGAGGTAAGTATACAGTGCTGTGCAAAAGACTTAAACCACCTCTCATTTCTTTATATTCTGCTGGGGGGAAAGGGAAATAGATTCAGTGATTTACTTAAAAATGTTCTGACCTACATGGAAATACAGTATAGGCAAAAACAGACTTTGCCTGCTATGACTACCTTTATTGTGCAACACAGCCTAAACTCTCTCAAGAAGCTCCAGTAGTCTTCAGGAAAAGCTCTCCAGGCATCTTGAAGGACACTGAAAGCTTTTCTTTGGATGTTGGCTGACTGTTGTTCTGTTGTGTCCAGATGATCCCACACTGCTTCAATAATGTTGATGTCCGGGCTCTGATAGTGTTAATTGTGCGTTTTTCTATCCATTTATGCTTTTACTGCATATGAAGTGCATTGAGGATTATTGTCACGCTGAGGAATTAAGTAATCATTTGAACCACAAATGTGACATTTGTATTCATGACTCCATCAGACCTGTTGTCACTGATTTTCAGTCCAGTTCTTGTGTATTTGTCATACCTCAGTCTTTTCCCCCAGTTTCCCCTCTTTAATAAGGGGAACCTCTTAGTCTCAGCGACTCCTCCACTGAGACTATTTCTGAATACGCTTCAAGGAACAGTTCATTTAAGGGCTAGATGCATCTCTCGGATCCTGTGTCATTGCTTCTGTGTTTTGTGTCTTTGTTAAATTTTTTCTTATTTCTTGAGGACACTGTTCAGATACTGTTCATGTGCTTTAGATTGTTTTTTAATGCCCGCCACTTCTTTTGCCCTCCACTTGCCAGGTTTCCCTCAAATTTTTTAGGGACACACTACACACCATGCTGCTGCCAGTTTTTGGGGCTAATAGCTCTAATACTATTTTATTCCTGTTAAACTGTGTTATCTTTGCATTTTTGGTAGATTTAACTGAAGATATAAAAACAAATTATGTGTTTTTGTAGGCTGCTAGTAACAATAAACCTAAGGATTCAAAAGCAGCCAATATCCAAAGAAAAAATATGAAAGACCTTCAGAAATCTTGGGTTACTATTGCTCAAGACCATTTTAAAAAGCTGTCTGAGTGTTACACAGAGCAGCTGTGTCTGTGTGTGTTTTTCAGAGTGAGAACGTGCGCTGGGCTCACTCAGTGGCTCAGTACCATGAGCAGGAGGAAACACTTTGTGGGGACGTCCTTCTAACCGCAGCCTTCATCTCTTATGCCGGATCCTTCTCAAAGAAGTACAGGAAAGAGCTGCTGGACAACCTCTGGATGCCGTTCCTACACAGCCAGAAGGTTTAAAATCTTAAAACACTGAGATATTTCTTTTAGTTTTCTTCTGCAAATGCAGTTATTCCCTCCAGTATCTTTGCCGTTCCACAACAGATTGTGTCTTATTTCTCTATGAACACACACCACTGTTTCTATCAGATGTCCATTCCCATGACGGAGGGCTTAGATCCAGTGTTGATGTTGACTGATGATGCAATGGTTGCCCAGTGGAACAATGAAGGCTTACCAGGAGACAAAATGTCTACCCAGAATGCCACCATACTTACTAACTGTGAGTGGAGTTTTTCACTTAGTGTAACTGGCTTTTTATAACAAACATTACAAACGCTACGGTACTAGGTTTTCTTCTTAGCACATCTCTGTGTATAAATAAGGAGTTTATTGTTGCAGGTGAGCGCTGGCCTCTCCTTATCGACCCTCAGCTGCAGGGCATCAAATGGATTAAGAGTCGCTATGGTAACAGCCTCAAGGTTGTCAGTCTGGGGCAGAGAGGGTGAGCGTTTCCTTTGTTGATGCTTGCTTGAGGCCTCGAGGATGTGTAAATTTGTTTAGTAGCAATTCAGAAATACTAACAGTGCTACAATTTCTACAGTTTTTATAAATTAATCTTAAATGTTGTTCCAGATATGTAGATGTTATTGAACAGGCTGTAGTGGCAGGGGACACTGTCCTCATCGAGAACCTCGAGGAGACCATTGACCCCGTTATTGACCCACTTCTGGGTCGACACACAATCAAGAAGGGCAGGTAACACACAGAATTGCTGTGATCGAGTTTTTCTCCTTTCTGCAGATGCTTTAAGAACTGGACTAAATTTGTAGATGCAGTTATTTTGGGTTCAGGGTAACAACATTTCCACACAGATATTAGTGAATGAAGCCCAATTTATGGGAAAGCTTTTTCCTTGAAGAATTACTGCATTACTTGGTTAAGTACTCACCTAGCCATCGGGGCAGATAGTAGCAGATAAGGACACAGAAAAACAAAAGCCCCGTAAAAACAAAATCTGCCAGTAAAGTACAAAAAAAGATGTTGTTATAGATTAAACGTGACCTAGAAAAGAAACTGTAAGACTCCAGGAGAATTCAATCAATTTTCACATATTTATTAAAAAATGAACACATGAATAGAGCTGATGTGTTTCATCAGAAATATATTGATCTATGTTCAGTCCTGTCTGTAGGGTTTTGTGAACCTTTCAATACATGTTTACACGTTGAAAGCAGACAAGGTGGTATAAGGGTTATGGATCAGAAGGAAGAAGAAGTGGGTAAATTCAGAAGGAGAAAATGGTTAGGAGGCTGGTGGGGGTGGGATGGTAGAGAGTGGGTAAAGAGAGAGGATAATTGGAAGGGTGGGTGGGGGGGTCTAAGGAGGTATGGGGAAAAGTGGGTAAGGTAGAAAGGAGGGAAAGGGGTAGGGGTGGGGTATAAGGAAGTAAGGATCTCATCACTTATCCACAACTTGCTCATCAATGCCACTTTTCCATGTATCGAAGATCATTCATATGACACTGGGTTCATTCATTTTATCATGCTCTACTCTCTTCTTCTTCCTTGCTACTACGCTGCTACAGTTGTATAAAGGTTGGAGACAAAGAGTGTTTCTTCCACCCAGCCTTCAGACTGATTCTCCACACTAAGCTGGCTAGTCCTCACTATAAGCCTGAGATTCAAGCCCAGACCACCCTCATTAATTTCACAGTGACCAGAGATGGATTGGAGGACCAGCTCCTGGCCCAGGTGGTGAATCAAGAGAGGCCAGACCTTGAGCAGCTTAAGGTAGAGTGGAACAGTTGATGGAGTTCTCTGTTGATGAGTCTGTCCTTTTTGTACTGCCTGTCCAGGTCCGGCAGTCTAAGAGTTTAAGAAACGTTAAGGCCTTCCTCTCCCCAACCGCTGCCTTTTGCTTCACAAGGGGGCAGCATGCAATCTCCCACTTAATGCCTTCCTCTCTTGTGTACAAGACCCGGGTTACCTGAACTCGATTTGCTGTTTGGTATTTAGCTGTCCCAGTGCATGTTGGAGTTCATCGTTTAATGAGCCCAGCTGGCATTATTTCATCTCTGTTGCAGGTTTTGGTTTTCATCATTCTGGTTCTATTTATGCTTCTTTTTATATATTTGCATCGTCTTCCTACAGAGTGAACTGACAAAGCAGCAGAACATGTTTAAGATTGAGCTGAAGCTTCTGGAGGACGAGCTGCTAACCCGGCTGTCTGCTGCAGAGAGTAACTTCCTTGGTGACAATGTGCTGGTGGAGAAGCTTGAGACCACAAAGCACACTGCTGCTGAGATTGAGATGAAGGTATCAGGTTACATGTCTGCGTTGTTGCAGTAAAATGAATGGTTAACCTACTTTTTACTCCCTTTCATATTTTTTCTTTTTTCTGTCATCTCTCATTCGCAGGTTCTGGAAGCAAAAGTTAACGAAGTAAAGATAAACGAGGCCAGAGAGCACTATCGCCCTGTTGCTGTCAGAGCTTCTCTGCTCTACTTTATCATGAATGATCTTAACAAGATCAACCCCATGTACCAGTTCAGCCTCAAGGTAACCAGAAGCAAATATAGGACCTGACCACAACCTAGGAACCAACAACTGAATTTAACATAAGATGTAAAATATCCAAATTTATGTGAAATTATGCAGCAAACAAATACATCCTACGAATTGATTTGTCCTTTTGTTCTCAGGCCTTTAACGTTGTTTTCCACAAAGCAGTGGAGCTGGCAGAAGCCTGTGACGACGTAAAGAGCAGAGTAAACACTCTCATAGACTGTGTTACATACTCCACCTTCAACTACATCAGCAGGGGACTATTTGAGAGAGACAAGCTCACCTTTACGGCACAGCTGGCCTTCCAGGTGTGTGTGTGTTTGTGGAAGGGTTAGACAAAGACTGTGTTTGTCCCTGACTGTGTTCTCCCTATTTCAGTTGCTCCTGATGAGTAAGGAGATAGTTGTGAGAGAGTTGGACTTCTTGCTGCGTTTTAACATTGACCACAGCTACATCAGCCCCCTTGACTTTCTTTCCAACTCGGCCTGGAGCGCCATCAAGGTTCACAGGCACATACACGCAGCATTTATTTTTGTTGGCATTTGAATTGCAATGCAAATCAAAAACTGCTCTCTCTTTTGTATCGGTCCAGGTTATGAGTTTCACTGATGAGTTTCGTGGTCTGGATCGGGATATTGAAGGTTCACCCAAGCGCTGGAAGAAGCTGGTGGAGTCAGAGTGTCCTGAGAAGGAGAAGTTTCCTCAGGAGTGGAAGGGAAAAAGCTCACTGCAGAAACTGATCATGATGAGAGCCCTGAGGCCTGACCGTATGACCTATGCTCTAAGGTGATGAGGATTTGTTTTCCTGCTTGTTTAACTGTGTTTTTGTCTTTTCTATTTTTTAAGTGTATTTCCATATAAGGACTATTAAAAGTGTTTGTTCATTCGTTTATGTCAATATAACCCGACTCTAGGAACTTTGTTGAAGAGAAGCTCGGTGTGAAGTATACAGAGGGACGAAAGACTGAATTTGCAAAGTCCTTTAGAGAAAGTGGTCCTTCCTCCCCTATTTTCTTCATCCTCTCCCCAGGAGTGGACCCACTTAAAGATGTCGAATCGCTAGGTACTGTTCAGAAAGCTGCATGCATCCAAACCCTGATCGCATACTGTAATGTGTTGATTTATTAATAATTTAAGTGTTGCTTTACAATTCAGTGACAACCTAAAAGAGTGTTAAGGTTAGCACATAAAAAAAATCAGTCCTTTGTTTTCCCAGGAAGGAAGCTGGGTTTCACTATTGACCTTGGGAAGCTTCACAATGTCTCCCTGGGTCAAGGACAGGAAACTGTGGCTGAACTCGCCATGGAAGAGGCCGCTAAGGAGGGTCACTGGGTTATATTGCAGGTCCAGTTAAAAGAAACACATTTTCTTATGTTAGAATGGGGATAATCTGAAAAAGAAATCAGCATGACAGTGCCTGTGGAGTATGCTACAGTTATTGAGCTTTGATTATGTGTTTCCATTTCCCTGCAGAACATCCATCTGGTTGCTCGCTGGCTGGGTGCGCTTGAGAAGCTCCTGGAGCGCTGCTGTGAAGACAGCCATCCAGACTACAGAGTGTTTATGAGCGCTGAGCCGGCATCTACGGCCCAAGAACACATTATCCCACAGGTAAAGATTCAGCAAGCATGCAAGAAAAGTCACACTTTGTCTCACTTTAACACTTTAATGTAACATCTACATAAGGAATTTATTCTCCCAGCTGTCTTAACCTATACCAGCATTGCATTCATTGAATTACAGTTGAACACTTTAATAGTGACATGAAATTTTTATTTTTTTATTTTTTTTACTCAGGGAATTCTGGAAAATGCTATAAAGATCACCAATGAACCTCCTACAGGCATGCATGCTAATCTACATGCTGCTCTGGATAACTTTGACCAGGTGATTTTTTTTTCTTTCCTTGTGTTCTTTGTGCATTTGTTTTGATTTATTTATCAATTCACTTATTGCTTTGCCCTCTCTCCAGGACATCCTGGATCAGTGCAGCCGTGAGCAGGAGTTTAAGACCATCCTGTTTTCTCTCTGTTACTTTCACGCCTGTGTGGCGGAGAGGAGGAAGTTTGGGCCCCAGGGTTGGAACAGAAAGTATCCATTCAGCACTGGAGATCTGACTATATCAGTTAATGTCCTTTACAATTACCTGGAGGCTAATGCACAGGTGGGTTTTGTTGTTGTTGTGGATAGGAAGCATGGTGTATAACTGGATGACCGAAGCACTGATGTATGAGGTTGTCAGTGGTGCTGCGAGTGACGGTGCCACAGGCGAATTAGGGTTGTGATTGCCTTGGCAGTGATTTTTATAATTATGATGACACAGGTGCCATGGGAGGACCTGAGGTATTTGTTTGGGGAAATCATGTATGGAGGACACATCACTGATGACTGGGACAGACGCCTCTGCAGAACTTATCTGGAAGAATACATGCAGCCCAACCAGGTTTGTGTATGTGACAGTAAAAGAAAACATGGACGTAGTGTGCCAGCAAACCTGGCTGTGTTCTGCAGAAAAAGAACAGGCTTCTCCGCAGGCATTATATGGTAGCCAAATGTAACTGCTCTTCTTGTGCAGACTTGGGCCATTTTGGGTTGAAAATCAGCTCCAGTTAGAGCAGATTGACTACTTTTTTTACTATAGACTGTCCATAAAAGCTAAAAAAAATACTGGCATGAGTTCCTGGCAACCAGTTGCACCAGACCGAGGGAATTTTGCCGTCTGGGTTTGGAATAATTTTATGTTATGTACAGTATGTGAGTCCCACAGCTAACAATACTTCTCTCTGTTTTGTGTCTCCTAGTTTGACCGGAAGCTTGCATTGGCACCGGGATTTGTCATTCCCTCCAACCTGGATTATCAGGTAAATTAAATCCAGTAGTTTTTTTATTAAAGTTTACTTTACACTATTGTACCTTAAACTGTCATGTAAATGAATATTAAAGGCCAGTTTTCATACTGAATAATTCTGAATGTACAGCTCATTAAATGAAAATGTTACTCTGCATCTCCAGGGCTACCATGATTTCATAGATGAGATGCTGCCCCATGAGAGCCCAGTGCACTATGGGTTGCATCCCAATGCAGAAATTGAGTTCCTGACAGTGACATCAGATAACCTTTTTCACACTCTGCTGGAGCTGCAGTCCCCTGATGTTGTGATTGGAGAGGGAGCCTCACAAACACTAGAAGAGAAGGTACAGTAGATGTACAGGTTTTTTTTTTCTTGGAAGGTATAAAAAGACAATTATAGATCAAAACCAGTGACCAGTGAAGTCATAAAACAGATAAAAAGTACAGAAACAGATACATTCACTCCTCTAATGTTTAAATTATTCACAGTAGGAACACAGTTAGCCCGCTTCTCTAATTCTAGGAGAACCAAGATAGAAATGAGCAAACCAGTAAATCCAACATCTTGGACTGACTATATACTTGCTCTACACACATCCAGGTGAAATCAATTTTAGATGAAGTTCTGGAAAAGCTGCCAGAGGTGTACAACATGACCGACATCACTTCCAAGACAGCTGAACGATCACCATACATCCTGGTGTGCTTCCAGGAATGTGAGCGCATGAACACACTCATTTATGAGATACGCCGCTCGCTGAAGGAGCTTGACCTTGGACTCAAGGTATGCTTGACACCTTTGTGTGTTTGAATGGGTATTTACAGTAGAAGTAGAAAACTAGTCTGGATAATATATAAACACAGAAGCCATCACAGCACAGACTGTCATCACAGCAGAGTGTGTGTCAAACAAATGATGTAAGGATGAAAAGAAGCCTGCATCAGGAGAAATCAGAGAAGCTTTTGCTCTTTATGCAAAAATGTGTTCAGCTGAGTTTCTGACAGTATTTACACTGCTGCTTTAGAGGTCACGTGTTAATGTCTCACTGATGTTAAATTACTACATGCATAAATTCTGATCTGTGCGGTTATACTGTTGCTCTCTCAAAGGGTGAACTGGCCATGTCCTCTGAGATGGAGAAGCTACAGGCAGCCTTGTTCTTTGACAACGTCCCAGATAGCTGGACCAAGCTTGCCTACCCCTCAACTTACAGCCTGGCAATATGGTGTGTTTTTCTTTCTCCAGGGGATGGATTTCCCAAATCTTATATAAGACTCTGCATTTAATTTCAGCTGATGCAATTTTGCATAATGTGCAAGGGAATCAAATAAGCCAAGGTATTGTACTGTTATACATTTCATATAGTGAAGAGTTGAGTTACAGTGCCCTGTATAGTTTCCACATGACTGACATTATCCAAACAGCTGTCTCGGTCTATTTCCTTTCATTTGATGTCAGGTATAACGACGTGATGCAGCGTTGCAAAGAACTTGATAGCTGGACTCAGGACCTGTCTCTGCCCAGTGTTGTCTGGCTATCTGGGCTGTTCAACCCACAGTCCTTCCTCACTGGTAAAATTCATTTACAGCATATAGAAAATTTGTACTAATACATTGACTTCTAACCAATTCTTAGTTATTTCATCGTGTCCTTGCATTCCAGCTGTGATGCAGTCTCTGGCACGTAAGAATGAGTGGCCTCTTGATAAAGTGAATCTGACAGTGGATGTGACCAAGAAGTTTAAAGAAGAGTTCAACCAACCGGCCAGGGAGGGTGCATATGTGTATGGACTTTATATGGAAGGTAGAAACACTGCCACTTATTTTCTGCTTATTTTGGTGCAGCTTGGAGAGCCACAGGCCACTTCTTTGTGCATAATTCTCCTTGTCTGTGTTTTAAGTTCAAATAAAATCATACATTTAACTGTGTATATGTACCTTTGCACTGGGGACAGTTTTCCAGTTGTCTGTCTGTCCTGTTGTCACAATATCTCAAAGTAGCTTGAGGGAATTTCATTAAGTTTAGTGTAAACCGTTCACTTGGGCTCAAGGTTTAATGATTGGAATTTGATGATCAGAGATCACTGGGACTCTATAAAGCAATTTTGTGCTTATAACTTCTAGATAGAATAAGCATATAATGATTAATTGACACATTTAAGTGAAAACTTCACTGCAACATCATGATACTCTGCAAAAAACAGACTTACTTCTCAGGATGAGCAGCAGATATGGCCTTGAACAGCAGCTAGGAGAGTTAATGGGGCATAAAAATCCCCAAAAGTGCTTTAAGTCTTCTCTCTTCTTCACCTACGCCCGACTACAGGTGCAAGATGGGACACTCAGACCGGAGTGATAACTGAGGCTCGTTTAAAGGAACTGACCCCAACCATGCCTGTTATCTCAGTTCGAGCTGTACCCAGTGACCGTCAGGAAACCAGGAATATCTACGAGTGTCCCCTCTACAAGACCAAGATCAGAGGACCCACGTATGTTTGGACTTTCAGTCTAAAAACCAGGGAGCGACCTGCCAAATGGGTCCTGGCCGGAGTGGCTCTTCTACTCAGTGTGTGAAAAGTGTAAGAGTTCGCAGTGAAGATGCAGTGTGTCCTCAGTGCTCCTGATGTCCCTTTTGAACTTATTAGTAGCGCAAAGTAACTGGAATATAATAAGATTTCTTTTCTTTTTATTGAAAAATGATAAAATGTACAGAGAAAAATGCCAATACTTCACACACTAGATCACAGTTAGAACTGAAAGTCAAAGCATGTTTGGAACAAATCAAATCTATAAACTACAAGATATAAGCAGGAGAAGAAAAAAAAAAAGAAAACAAAGACAGTGCTGCCTCGTTAGAGCGGCGTTCAAGTGTCTTATTTTGTTACACTTGTACCTCTTACAGTATGTTATGCATCAGTTTTAATAGCACATTAAATTACACAGGTGAAGCCAATCTGACAACATGACAGTACAACCTCAAACTGCCTTTTCCTTCCTTCCCTCTTCACAGTACACATGGGTGTAGTATTCGTCCATTTAATTAAAAAACAAATTAACAAAAAATGTGTGTATACCAGCTCTTTTTTAACAGGAGATCGCACATACTGTAGCTCAGATACTGCATGTGCTTACAAGTCAAAATCTTTCTAGTTTGGCCTCGGTGTGTATTTCTGTGTGTGTTTTCTGTGCGTGTTTCTGCTAAGGTGTCATCTAATCACTGTCAGACCAGTCGAGCTCCATCATGTCCATGGCTGCTGTTGCCATGTTGATCTTGGTTCCGTGCCGCATGCTGCAGCTCTTAACAGAGTTCTGATTAGACGATGCCCGCATGCTCACCTGCACCCCAGAGTGACCGACGACACCCACTTCACCCCTGATCTTTTGGCTGATGGCCTCGCTGACGTCTCCTCTAACATCCTGGACTACAACTCCCATGTCACTCCTGCGACCCCTGACCCCCAGCTCACTTCTGACGCCGTGACCAATGACTTTCATCACTCCCAGGTCGCCCATGTTCATGTCCATGTCACCCAGTCTCTCCATCTCCCCCATCTCATCCATATCTAAAGACAGCATGTCCCCAAAGCCCCCCATGCTCCCATGGAGACCTTTGAACATGGTTGGGAGCCTCCCTCCTTCGAGACCACCCTCCATCCCTCTCTCTTCCAGCGTGTCGCCGAGTTTTTCTATCTCCCATCCTCCTTCTCTATCCCTCTCTCCTTCCGCCTCCCCAAATCCCCCCGAGTACCCTCGGACAATAGTAGTCACCCTGCTTCTTTGCATTCCTCCCCTCTCCCTGTCCCCTTCCTCCCATGTCCTCTCCTCCCTTTCCACTACGCCACCGGGGAAACTCCTGAGTGTCACCTGCACCCTTCCTCCCTCCAGACTCCCACTGTCATCTCTGTCTCTCTGTCCCCAGCTTTTCTCCTCTAGGGTACCCTCCTCTTCCTCGTCCTCCTCCCCTAACCTCCCCTGCAACCCTCGGAACATGGCGTGCAGCCTCGTGCTGTCGAGCGAGCCCATCCCTCTCTCCAGCACCGCACTGCTCCCCCTCTCTGTGTCTCCGTTGCTTAGTGTGCGAAGGAGAGAGCTGACACCAGCACTGCTGACCCCAGCGCTATTGGAGTCCTGAGAGTGTGAGCGGAAGAACGAGCCCGAGGAGCTGATGGACATCGGTGTGAAGAACTGGTAGAGACAAGGGCAAGATTAAGAAAAAGGTATCAGTTAATTTTGTTTATGGCAGTTTGAGATAAATTATATACAGGCAAGTTTTGCGTACCGGTGAGATGTTTGAGCGCTCCATGAGTAGGGAGGTGGGGCTAGGAGTCATGTTGGACCTCTCCATTAGCCTCTCTTCCCACAGTCTGAGCCTCCTCTCTCTCTCCTCTAGCTCCTTCTCCTTGGAGTAAAGTTCCCTCTCTAGCTTCCGGAGGCGCTCTAATGTTGACTCAATTTCACACCTAAAGTATTTGTACACATGAAAACATTAGTGGTCAGTGATTAACTCCAGGTTTTAAAGGAGAAATGACTATATTCAGAATGAGAATATAATAATTAATATGTAGTCTGCTAAAAACAGCTACCAGTGCATCTAAAAAAACTGTATATAATGAAAAGGTTTTATTTTTAATTTATGTCATATATCACATATTCAATACACATAATGTGAATTATTTGAAATCTTTTTGTTTTAACATTGATGCTAATGACCAGGGGTCCCCAATTGCAGTCCACGAGGGCCGGTGTCCCTGCAGGTTTTAGATCTCACCCTGGGTCAACACACCTGAATCACATGATTAGTTCATTACCAGGCCTCTGTTGAACTTCAAGACACGTTGAGAAGGTAATTTATCCATTTACATCAGCTGTGGTGGATCAAGGACATATCTAAAACCTGCAGGGACACCGGCCCTCGTGGACTGGGATTGGGGACCCCTGCTAATGACTTACAGGTCATGAAAATCAGAAATCCAGTACCCCAGATTATTTGAAAGCTTTCATTTTAAGTAAATTGCTATGCCAACTCTCGATCTAGTTCAGTACACACAACTACAATCATGGAGATGACTGCTGACTTGGCAGTCGTTTCTATGATGGTCACTGACACTTTCCACAAAGAGGGTAAGAAGGCGTTTGATGAAAAGCCTGGCCTTTCAGAGTGTTGTATCAAAGCTTATTAATGGGATTAACTGAAAGGGAACACTGTAGTAGGAAAAGGTGCACATGCAACACGAATGATCGCACCCTTTAAAAAATTGTCAAAAACTTAAGAAAGATTCAGAGTGGACTGATCCTGGTTTCTGTGCATCCAAAGCCACCACAGAGGTCTCCAGGAAAGGAGAGACAACGCCAAAAGAGTCTTAACTGGGCTAAGAACAAAAAGAACTCAGTGAAAGTCCTCTTTTCAGATGAAACTCAATTTTGCATTTTAGTTGGACATCATGTTCCTAGAGTCTGTCAGAAGAGCGGAGAGGAGCCAAGAATCCAAGGTGTTTGAAGTAGTCTGTGACGATTTGGGGCGCCATGTCATCTGCTGGTGTCGGTGACGTTGTTTGGTCCACCATGTTAGTCCAAAGTCAACATGAGACAATCAGAAAGAGATTTTAGAGCACTTCATGCGTCCACCTGCTGGCAAACTTTATGGAGACAGTGGTTCGTTTCCAGAAGGACCTCTAGCAGCACCCAGCCATAGTGCCAAAACTACGACTGAATGGTATGCTGACCGTGTTATTACAGTGTTATTATTACTGTTATTGTTTGTGACCGGCCAACTTGTCTGGCCTGAACCTCATCAAGCACCTGGAATATTGAAAAAAGGAAGTCAAGAAACACCAGACCCAAAAATACAAACAGCAACCTGGGCCTCAATAACACCACAGCAGAGCCAACACTTGATTGAATCCGTGCTAAGACACTGATGCAAAATATTGAGGGCCTAAATAAGCATATTATTCAAAAGCTGGTCATTTCTGTATTGTAAACGTCATTATAATTTATATTTTAATGATTTAAGATACTGGATTTGTGATTTTCATAAGCTGCAAGACATTTTTCACTTTATGTATATTGAATATGCAAAATGTGAAAGTTTACATTTTTTGAATTTTGCAGTGACCTCTGAGGCATACTCACTGGAAACTACAATTCATTTTCATTTCTTTCATGAATTTTATTTCACATTCACTTGATACTTTCATTTTTTTATAACATTAAAATATTTTATGTTCATGAGGAAGTAGTTTGCAGTTGTGAGTAGTTAACTTTTTACAGCAGAACACAACATTGTTTTATAGTCGTCTTTTGATGCAGTACTCTCTTTTGCCACAAGAGGTCACTATTGGATTGGCTGTCGATGAGCCTGCATTCACAAACACGATCATCTCTCACGGCAACTAAATATAGACATGTGCAGAGTCATACCTCCTCCTGTATTCCTTCCATACTTCCCCTTTCATTCATCCCACCCCTTCACCTCTCCTCCCAGCTTGTCCAAGTTTTTCCACCCATACCTAAAACTTCACTCAGAATTGATTGCCTTCCTGTACTCATGTTAAATATGCACAGAATTTTGCACCTTCTCTCCTCCTGCTGTTCCATTGGCCACCTCTCTCTCTCCCTTTTTCCCTGCACCCCCCAACCTCCCCTCATCTGTCCACTCTTGTTTTCCTCTATCCTTGCTGTTTGTGTCTCGCTCAGTGTTTTAGATTTCACACTCACACAATACATTTCTGTTCCTCCCTGAACCTCTCCTCCTCCTCCTCTTCAACTCTTCAGTTTGATTTCTCCTCAACCACCCCACACCACCTCCAACCCCACCCCTTGTCTCTTTCTCCCCATGTCGGAGTGAGGGCAGAGTGGAGGAGTAGAGGAATCTCTTCCATGGCTACTTTCCAGTGAGCTTAATATAGACTGAAGTAGAGTACAGGGTCACACATTCAGCTTCTCCCTTGAGCTTCAGTGTCCACAGAGTTGTGTATGTATACATGTATGTGAGCGAGGGTACATGCTGATGCGTGTGTGGATTTGTGATCTACCGTGTGCACACGCATTCAAGAGGGTGGATTTGTCAGCCTCATAAGAGAACAACACTTTATAGCATGCACTTAAAAACGTCAGGAGATCCCTCTGACACAGTGCAGTTACACTCTTATTTTGGATGTCTACAAGACTGTGTTTTTTGTGTGTGTACCTCCACTGGTCCTTGTTGTGTAGGAAGGAGTTACACTGGTCCGGTAGCCTGCTATCGTTAGCCATGGTCTCCAGGGTTGCCAGCACCTGCTTAAACTGTGGACGCTCCTGTAAATACATTTGTACACACAGGATATGATCGTGTATCTTTGAAAGCATTCGGTGCGCTATATGAAACTTTTTTCCGCACATTAATCACTGTGTCCTGAGTCAGTTTAGCTTACCTTTGGGTCTGCTTGCCAACATTTTCTCATCAGCTCTGCAAAACTTGCTGGACAGCTGGTGGGAATGGTCAGCCTCTGGATAGCCAAACACAATAACACAGACACATATAAAAATTATTACTATACAAATGAAACCACCCCGTGTTTTTTTTTTCTTAACTCACCAGAGTGTTTTCATTTAGTCAACCATCCATTCATGCAAATAGC